GAATCATTACTGGTTGGGATGAATCGTATATTGAGAATGTGTTGGTTAGTTTTGAGTGATAAACTGTATTTGGATCTCAAAGGTATATTCAACACTTCCTGAAGTCATTTTTCAGAACATCCCCCTTAATTTAGTTGTTTAATGCACTCTTTCAACAATGGCGAAAATTCCTCTTTTTAGGATAGATGTGCTCATATTTCTGTCATCCAGTTCTACACATTCTCCTTCCATGCTGCTTTTAGAGTGCGGAAAACCGCAAGGTCCATCGGCTGCAGTAAATGAGTTGCAATCGACAAGAGAGCTGCTAAAATAATTCCATTTTGAGAACAGAACTCACTCGTGTGAAAGAATAGTGGGATGTGTGTCTATCAATACAAAGGATAACTTGATGTTCAAGATTGTTGTCGTTTAGCAACTTGTTTAAGACGTTGCATAAATGTAAAAAAAATCTCACAAGTTATCCAACCATTTTCTGACCTACCCCAGTCAGGAGGTGCATTTTCTGCGATGTCAGCAGGAATTCATGCATACTTAAACACAATCATTGTGGGACCAACAATACCAGCTGCATTACCCATTAGAATAACAGTAACACATTCTTTTTCATCATTGTTTATGTGCTGGTAAACACTCTTATGGCCTTTTTTTTAACTAGATAGGGATTAAGGAAAAATGCGGATTCGTTAGCATTGAACATAAGCGACGGAACCGTTAAAATTCTCTCCAGTTATTCTTTAGTGGCCTCTTTGAGAATGTCAAAACCATTACTTACTATTTTATTAACCTCTGTGGTTTGGCACTTCAGGTATTCATGGACTTCTTTAAACCAGTCCCTGACTTGATTCCAGGTTACTAAAGCTCGTAACATTGTTAGATTTTGTGCCATTCAATTGACCACTTGAGGGTTCCTTTTCATAAAACCAATGTACCACTTGCGTACTGTCCTTCCATCGGTAAAGTGATTTTCTCTTTGCAGACCGGACAATTGGCGCTTCACACTGTCAAAAAGCTGATCTGTACTTACTAGAAATCCAGCTTAAGCCATGGCGAATATCCATTGCACCAATGCATATTCTTCCTCGTTGGTGAGTATTGATTGTGGTCCCAACCGATGCTTTATAGGTCATATCCCTTTATTTTGCTTATAAGCTTTGACCTCTGGACATTATTGTTTTTTGCAGCTAGTGAGTGTTAAACACCCTGTTTCAGATCTTCAAGAGCTTTTCCATTTGCAGCACTGAATAATTTATTTTTTTTCCATGGCGCCTCCTGAAATTAAGTTATGTTGAAAGAAGACTTGTATATTTAACACATACAGAGTGGCATTTAAGTAAGACAACCTATTTTTATTCCTTACCACGACAGAGAAAAATACCAAGTTCAATCACTATTGGTACAGATCATTATTGGTAACAGGAACAGATATATATTTGCAATTAACAACCATTACAACTTTGATGGGCTGCCATTTCCCACTCAGTCATCCATTGAAGTCCGGGTTTGCAGCATTGCATTCAACTTTAAAATATCTTTCATTTGATGAAAAAATCAACCTATACCTATACTAGAGATTTTCTTTTGACTTCTTGAGGCTCGTCCCTCAGAGGGGTCATCCTACCCTCATCCGGTAAGTAGCTGCAAATACATGTAGATTCAAGTCACCAGTAATGATCTGTGAACTTTGGCATTTTTCAACACACACATGTACAACATGCACACACCTACACGCTCATGCATTCAACGTCACTCCTACATTGTCGAATTTATTGACGAAATTAATTCGAAACATACTATTTCCCAAAAATGTCTGGGAAACGAAAGTAGACAGTTAATAATTTAAGTTAATACTTTTAGTGATCGTGTGTCATTATGAAGCGTGTTTATTTACTTCACTCTAATTTATTATCACATTACACAAAAAAGACACATCAATAACAATGTGCGAAGCAATTGTTGAAAATGTGAGGAACTGATACTGATACAACATCGATTGGAGCAAAACAGGTTGAAGCTGAATTGTTGACCGAAGGCTGTTTGAACTTAAACACTAATTTATTAAAAATTTCAACCAATCTGAAAGTTTCCGTAGTGAAGCACGGGTATTCCGCTAGTATTTATGTAAATATAGCACCTTTGCTACAGACTTAATTTTTCCTAAGTGTGTCATGTCTTTCGTGCATTTTTGACACAAACAATCATATCAAGCTTGCCTAGTTTATGAGTATATTAAATATGGTCTAAGAGTTCAAAAGTCCCATTTTCGTTGCCAGTTGACCTACACTGGTTTCCTGTTGGACCTTTTCTTTTGTGTTGGGTTGTTATAAATATTCTTTTATGGCTCTATACGTCCAGTATTCTTTGGAATTGTGAAGTTTGGAGGCAGAATCGTTCAGGCCCACTGCTTGCAGCAATTCCTGTTCCTTTACCCTTGTGTCTCGATTGTTTGGGAGCTTATAACGCAGGGGTTCCACTTTTTTTTAAATGGGGGCCCTTTATGTTGGGGTCGTAAGTTTCTCCGAAGGGCGGTTTCCCAAACTCATTTAAGCTTAGTTTTGGGAATTTAAACTAGGCATTAATCTAAGTTTAAACTAAACCACACCTCGAATTGGTTTAACTACTATGGTTTAAAATTAACTGAGATCAAATATATAATTCAGTTACATAACCTCAAATAAGTCCAAAATTAGAAGTAGATGTGAAAACAATAATATTTGAAACAACTACAAACTCTTATTGACAAAAATAGGCTTAGGGTTAGCAACGTTTTTTTTATCTGTACATTTAAATTGTTAAGCAAGGCTAGTATTAATTGCAGTGCCTGATAACTTAAATGGAAGAATTAATAGACATTTTTGAAGAAGTAGATGATAAAGATGATGACATTTTAGTGCCTAGAACTAGAGGGCCAACTAAAATAAGGGATAGAATTGACCATTTCAATAAATGGAATGATTCAGAACTTTTTTGAGAGCTTCAGGATGTGGAAGCAAACAGCAAACATAGTTTTGAGCTTAATCAGAGAAAGGTTAAGGAGTAGGACCAACAAAAGCCGTGCTGTTACCTCAGAAGAATACTTTAAGGTCCTATGCTTCTGACTGCTTTTTTATTAACATAGGTGAGTAGGTGGTCTACATAAAAAGAGTGAAAAGAGAGTTTTACACTAAGGCGTGGATTCCTATCTGTGTTGGTGCCATAGATTGTACACCATACGTCTGACAGACAAAATGCATATATAAAAACTGATCGGCATTAAAAGAGCTACATATTTGCTAAAAAAACGTTATTGGTAAAACTAATCGTTCTCGAGATATATGCCAAAATATATATTTTGGCAGCCATCTTGGCGGCCATTTTGAGTTTTAGGGCATGTTGCCAAGGTACGATTCATGGCGATTTTTGAGGGCTTATTAGGGGAACTCTTAGCTATCATAAAAAAAAAAAATGCTCGTGTTGCAATTTTGTTGGGGTTCAACACTAAAATGATTCCACAAGTTATAGGGAACGTTTTTTTTATCTGTATATAACCTCAAATAAGTCCAAAATTTGAAGTAGATGTGAAAACAATAATATTTGAAACAACTACAAACTCTTATTGACAAAAATAGGCTTAGGGTTAGCAAAGTTTTTTTTATCTGTACATTTAAATTGTTAAGCAAGGCTAGTATTAATTGCAGTGCCTGATAACTTAAATGGAAGAATTAATAGACATTTTTGAAGAAGTAGATGATAAAGATGATGACATTTTAGGGCCTAGAACTAGAGGGCCAACTAAAATAAGGGATAGAATTGACCATTTCAATAAATGGAATGATTCAGAACTTTTTTGAGAGCTTCAGGATGTGGAAGCAAACAGCAAACATAGTTTTGAGCTTAATCAGAGAAAGGTTAAGGAGTAGGACCAACAAAAGCCGTGCTGTTACCTCAGAAGAATACTTTAAGGTCCTATGCTTCTGACTGCTTTTTTATTAACATAGGTGAGTAGGTGGTCTACATAAAAAGAGTGAAAAGAGAGTTTTACACTAAGGCGTGGATTCCTATCTGTGTTGGTGCCATAGATTGTACACAATACGTCTGACAGACAAAATGCATATATAAAAACTGATCGGCATTAAAAGAGCTACATATTTGCTAAAAAAACGTTATTGGTAAAACTAATCGTTCTCGAGATATATGCCAAAATATATATTTTGGCAGCCATCTTGGCGGCCATTTTGAGTTTTAGGGCATGTTGCCAAGGTACGATTCATGGCGATTTTTGAGGGCTTATTAGGGGAACTCTTAGCTATCATAAAAAAAAAAAATGCTCGTGTTGCAATTTTGTTGGGGTTCAACACTAAAATGATTCCACAAGTTATAGGGAACGTTTTTTTTATCTGTATATAACCTCAAATAAGTCCAAAATTTGAAGTAGATGTGAAAACAATAATATTTGAAACAACTACAAACTCTTATTGACAAAAATAGGCTTAGGGTTAGCAAAGTTTTTTTTATCTGTACATTTAAATTGTTAAGCAAGGCTAGTATTAATTGCAGTGCCTGATAACTTAAATGGAAGAATTAATAGACATTTTTGAAGAAGTAGATGATAAAGATGATGACATTTTAGGGCCTAGAACTAGAGGGCCAACTAAAATAAGGGATAGAATTGACCATTTCAATAAATGGGATGATTCAGAACTTTTTTGAGAGCTTCAGGATGTGGAAGCAAACAGCAAACATAGTTTTGAGCTTAATCAGAGAAAGGTTAAGGAGTAGGACCAACAAAAGCCGTGCTGTTACCTCAGAAGAATACTTTAAGGTCCTATGCTTCTGACTGCTTTTTTATTAACATAGGTGAGTAGGTGGTCTACATAAAAAGAGTGAAAAGAGAGTTTTACACTAAGGCGTGGATTCCTATCTGTGTTGGTGCCATAGATTGTACACATGTTATAATTCAATCATCCGGACGCCCTCAAGCTGAAGTCTACCGCAACAGGAATGTGTATTTACTAAAAACTTACAAGTAGTTTGTGACTCTACTCTGTTGTTCAGGAATATCTTTGCTCGCTGGCCTGGCAATACACATGATATTTTTAACTCATCAATAGTAAAGCGGGATTTTGAAACCAATGAGTTTGGAAATGGAGTTTTGATGGGAGATGCTGGTTATGTGTGTACTAACTACATGATTCACCCTCTGGACAATGTTACAACTCCAGAAGAGCAATTGTTCCAAGAATCCCAAATCATAACAAGAAATCCTATAGAACGATGCTTTGGAGTATTTGAACGGCGTTTCCCTGTTCATTTCCTTAGGGATTCGAGTGAAGGAATATCGGGTTGAGAGCAGAATTGTCGCTACAGCTGTTTTGCATAATGTATGTACTTCTCAAAAAAGCTGAAAACTCAAAATTCTTAAATAGCAAGATATAACACTTGTGAAAGGTATTTTTAAAACAAACATTTTATGTACCTAAGCTTTCTTTTTATCTCTTACCCCAATCGGCCTAATCTAAAACGGTTTCCAAAGTTCATCGGCTTGTCTTTACAAAATCACAGCAAGGTCTTTACCGCCTTTAATGCCCATTTTATTTGCCAAGTTTAATTTCCAAAAATTAGAGGTAAAACATGTGACTTATTTTCGAAAACTCCTTGGCAAGGATGGTTGTCTAATTGAACATGAAAACAATGTCTACCATAAAAAAATTGTTGAAGCTGGTACGGAAATTTTTGTGAGAGTGCAGTCTCCTTCTCCTTAAATTTCTGTAAGAAATATGCAAAATAAAAGCCACCTCTAGAAAGTGGAAGAACACGGAAAAGGTTTTACTTTTATGGTCAATTATGGTTTGTTTTTGGGGAAACAAAACATCACACTACGAGGCCATCGTGATGATGACAGAATAGTAAAGGAAATTCAAAGCAAAAACGAAGTAAACTTCAGAGAACTAGTGCATTGAATCAGGAGACGAACATCTCAATAAACATCTTCAGTCAGCCTGAGCTGATTCAATTTACTCTAGTAAAACGATTCACAACTAACTAATCATCGCTTGTGGAAATGAAGTTCATGATGTTACAATAGATAGAATTAAAGCGGCAAAATATTATGGCATATATCATTAAAAGGAAAAAAATCATAAACAAAAACCACAAATTGGTGCAATACTTGTTTTCGCTAGTAAAATGTGGTTGAGTTCAAAAAGTTACGCATTACTATCCCGTGCCTGGACATAGTTTTTTGCCTTGCGGTCGTTGTTTCGGGGTCATTGAAAAAAACTCAAATTGATTGAACGTGTTTTCGTTCCAAATAAGAATCATACTCATATAAAAAAATCTTCTAAAAAGTTCAATACAGTTCATGTTAGTTTGAGAGCAGCCAAATAAAATGATGTGAAAGCTCTAGTGGAAAAATATGTTCCAGGCAGAGATATGTAGTTAACCGACTTCCCCACTACCAACAAAAGGAGGAGGTTCTCAATTTGTTTGTGGCGATGTTTTTTTTTTTCTATGTATGTTCACCAATTTCTCTGTGATTCTTTTACCGATCAGTGTGGTTCCACCACCAAAATAACCAGGAGAGTTTCTATTTGGTACCTTATATATTATGTTTAAGTATAATATTTGTTTCGGTGAAAAATTCTGAAAACCCTAAATATTCAACATTTATTTTGTTTACATTTGTGCAGATTGTTTACATTTGTGCAGATAAGGCAATAAATAATAATAACATTCCTACAGCTGTTAGTTGAAACCATTCAAATGAAGCTACAGACAATTCTTCATGAAACAGTTGCTTCATATTGATCAATAAACTATTTCTTGCCATGGAGCCTAAATGAATTACATTGAGAAAAATGCATTTTGTTTTGGTTACTATAAAAAATTTATTTTAACATTTGACCTGATTTGTGTATACAGTAATTCTGTTTTCATTAGTATTGAATATTCTGACATACAAAAACATATATGTTTCAGAGAATAGCTGTATGATATTGACAAATAAAGGTGTATTGTGAAAACCAAAGCATTCGTAAAACAGGTCTAAATATAAATTAAATGCAATTATTCCTTACACGACCTAAGAAGTGTGACAGTGCATAATCGTCAATTATTGTCTTAAAAGTGTAAAATATATTAATTAATAAACATGCATTTGCAGATATGGAATGTTTATTGATATTCTCTACCCAGTTACTATATCATATCAAAGGTACTATACGTGTTAAAGACCAATTTTCCACTTTTGAGATATTTTTTAGTGCTGGCGGCTGAGGAATAACTTTCATATTGTTCCAAAAGGCTTGAGATGTTACTGTATTTCGTTTTATAATGTAGAAGTACACCGATTGCAGGAAACGATGATGTCTGACATTTCAATGTATCTAGAAAAGACAATTAGTTTTTCATTAGGCCTAATGTAATGGACAACTCTTTCATTCTTAAGGAATTTCTAAAAATGTTTATTTTCATACCCATTGATTTTGTAACCTGAACAGGTGACTCAAGCAGTTTTAAAATAATGATTGTTCTGTGGTACTTTTGATTGTTTCAAACAGTTTTGCTTATCAAAAACCTCAAGTAATTAATACATAAAAAATTATACAGTCACTAAAAATCATGAAATAATTTATTTTTGTAAAAAAATACAACCGACTTCAAACGCTCTAAAAAGAATGAAATAATTTCAATAAAGTAAACTTTTGTATTAGGCAAGCTCACGTATTTCAAGTCGGCGCGGCTCAAACTGGAAATATGATTGAAATTAAATATTGTGTGTGTATTTTGAAAATCAATAAATTGTAGCTGGATAACATAAATATATAAAAAACATACTGAACTGTTTTGTTTATATATTAAAATAAATATTTTCTTATATTTTATGTTTACTTCAGAATAAATGCTTTATGAAAATAACACACACAAATGTTCTATATGAATAGGAAAATAATTTAGTTTGATATTATGATGGGGAAAAGAAGCTAGTTTAGTATTAAAACGTAACGTTAATTTTCCAAGTTAGAAACATTAAAATGCGTTATAATCTTTTTAAAAATACTCGTTAATACCACTATAATGCCGATCTCTGATTACGGTAATAAAATAACACTTAACGCATAACTATGAAAAAGACATGCAGATTAACACCTTTAGTTATAGATGGTCACCTGCAATATGGACACCCTCTTTCAATTTGTATCAAAAATCATCATAGAGCCGCGCCGACTTAAAATACGTGAGCTTGCCTAATACAAAAGTTTACTTTATTGAAATTATTTCATTCTTTTTAGAGCGTTTGAAGTCGGTTGTATTTTTTTACAAAAATAAATTATTTTATGCAATATGGACACCCTCTTTCAATTTGTATCAAAAATCATCATAGAGCCGCGCCGACTTAAAATACGTGAGCTTGCCTAATACAAAAGTTTACTTTATTGAAATTATTTCATTCTTTTTAGAGCGTTTGAAGTCGGTTGTATTTTTTTACAAAAATCTAAATACTATACAGCCGGATGTAAATTATTTTACAATCCGTTGTTTATTAATGAAGAAGCACCAGCTGGAGAAGCTGACGAGAACACCGATGCCCAAGATGATGGTGATGATGTAGACTGATAACTACCTCTGCCCACCTTCCATAACATATATGATCTATTTTTGTCCTTGAATATTTTATATAGCTGGCAAAAATGTTAAAATAACACACTCCTTGGCTACCCTCCTAGATCACCGTTTAAAAGGGAGTGTTTTCGTTAGCCAAGTCTGTTTGAGGAATGCTAAGTCACCGCTCCTAAAAGAGGCGGAAATGATTTATGGTAATGGGACCACCTCACAACAAACAACAGGGCAAACAAATCAACAACCCTCCACTTCAAGTTTAAGCAAAGTAAGTCATCACTCATTATTATCAGAAGGTAATACAAATGAATTAGGCCTCCAATTTTAGAATTTTTTATACATTGTAAATTCTTTTGCAAATCTGAGGCAGTTAAACCGGTACTTACGTGTTATGTGGGAGCCACTAATTTAAACATATTCTTGTTATCTCTTAGCTCAATTTAGCCTAATCATCACACTTTAGTAATGGTTGCTTTGTAAAATTTTAAACAAAACATTAAATCGTTAACAAAATCCATAAATGCATTCATAAAGGTAAACCCACATCATGTAGTCGGTGCAACAACCAACCAATTGTTTGTTACATTAGCCGTAAACTCTGTAACAGAAGATAAACAAACCGTAGGCCTACTTACAGGTGAGGTGAGGACCACTTAGGCCGGCCACACACAGAACCGGGCGGGGCGGGGCGCGACAGGGCACGGCGAGACGCCTGACTTGCACTGTCGTGCTGCTTGTCACACACCGAAAGAGACGGGGCACGACGAGTCAAAAATTTAGCAAATTTTCTTCACTGTCTCAGTCACTAGTGAACTCAGTGAGAGTAAAGTGGTGTGTAGTGCTTTTTGAAATGGATGAAGACGAGGAAACCATTTTGTTGATTTGGAACTATCTGCAGCTCCTGGACCACAACGTTAAGAACAGAAGGATGTGGGTACACCCCATAAACCAGAAAAGGGATATAGGAAGTTTCATTTCCGAGCTTCGAGCCGATCCGGCCAAATTTTTTAATTATTGTCATATGTCAATTTCGACATTCGACTTTGTGCTCGAGAGCATTCGGAGCAAAATAGAAAAACAAAATACTAACTGGAGAACAGCCATACCTCCAGAGGAGCGGCTTTTGATAACATTAAGGTAAGTATGTTGCTCCTCTATTTCCTTAGTAATAGTTATTCAACCATATAATAGGACTGCATAGTCCTAAAAAATGATTTAGACCTACTGGTTTCAATTTAATTGTATACAAATAAATACAAGTCTAGGGTTTCTAATAAAATACCAGTTTATATTTATAACATTTTATATTGTTAACGTTAACAAAAACATATTAAATAACATAAAAATTCATTAGTTTTGGTCTGTATTCCAGAAGTTAAATTGAGTAATGCTGTTTTCGTCATGACTTGTTCGTAACGGCTGCAGCTCGTGATAAGTCAAGCCGCTTGTACTTGTTGATGATCTTGATGAAATATTGGAAGAAAGGCTTCCAGATTATAAAATGGGAGGCTGTAATTGATGGGAGAATGAATTTCTAGATCGCTGCTGGTAGGATTGTTGGCCAATTAAATTATTCTGAGTAGTCATCACTTGTAGTTTCAATTTTCTTTTATTTTCATTTGTTAACAGATCTGTGTCAGGAATCATACTTTTGAAAAAAGTTAGCATCGCATTTTCTTGCTTAATATCATCATTGTTTTTTTTCTTCTCGGTGGCTATCTTTAGAAAATCAACCATCGGTGCAGCCACGATTTCTGCTGCTGTTTTGGGTTTTTTTTTCATAGGTGCGAACTCATCCATATTTTCAAATGCCGGTATGGTTAGTACTTCTCCTTCTTCTTGCACTTCCCTTAAAGGGGTCAAAGAATCTTCTGTAGGTCCGTTATTTGAATTATCAAGGGCATCCGCCAAGGTAGGGACTGGAGCCGTCAAATTACTTGACATTACCCTTGTCGACCAAGTCCATGGCTGCAGGAATTGCATAGCATCAAAGAGATGCCATTTCCTTTTCCTTTGACCGGATCCACTCGGGAGTTTTCTTCATCTCTCGTACATATCTGTTGTACCCGTTCCTCAAGTTTGTCCATTTTGTCTTGCACACTTGAACTGAAAACAATACATTTTGTTAATGTATTTTAACAAAAATATACCTCTTGTTTTTAGGCTCAAAACAAAGGCAAACACATTTATTGCAAAGAATAATCACAAAAAAACTGTTTTCCAAACTCTGTAAATTGCAAACACTTATGTTTCTTTGTGTGTTTCAGGTTTTTGGCAACGGGAGAACGTTTCCAATATCTCCACTTTAACCATCGTGTTGGTGCATCAACTGCTGGAAAAATTATTTCTGAAACATGTGTTGCTCTTTGGGAAACATTGACACCAAATTATTTAATGCAAGATCCACCACCCGAGGGATGGTTAAAGATTGCTAATAGATTCGAAGAGCTTTGGAACTTTCCTAACTGCTGTGGGGCTATCGATGGAAAACATATTAGGCTTGAGGCTCCATGGAAAAGTGGATCGATGTTTTTCAATTATAAGTCATACAATTCTATCATACTTCAAGCTGTAGTCGACGCAGATGGCAAATTTCTAGTGGTAGATGTGGGCGAAGCTGGAAAAAATAGTGATGGAGGTGTTTTTATTTCATCGACAATTGGTCGTTTGTTCAATGACATGAAACTGAAACTACCAAAGCCGAGAACATTGTACAGAGATAAGCCTACACAATTTCCTTATGTTTTTGTGGGAGACGAAGCATACGCCCTACACAAAAATATGATGAAGCAGTTCGCTAAAACCTCGTTAACGAGAGAAAGAAGAACTTACAATTATCGTCATTCCAGAGCACGAAGGATTGTTGAATGCGCTTTTGGAATGATGACCAAGAAATTTAGGGTTTTGGAAACAGCAATGCTAGTGCATCCTGACAAAGCAAAGGAGATAGTTTTGACATGTTGTGTTCTTCACAACCTCATACAATCAAGAGAAGGCAATCTACAAGAGGTATATGATGAAATAATGAACGTAGAAGAGACTTGTGATACTGAACAGGATGCTGTCAGAGCTAGAGCAACAAAAGCGGCATACGATGTAAGAGACAATTTCATGAAATATTTCAACTCTCCTTCAGGCGCAGTGTCTTGGCAGGATAAAATGGCATTAGTTTAAATGTTCATTACAAATCAATTGCATGAAAACTATACAACTATGTTGGATCGTTAATTTTGTCCATGTTTATAACTAGTAGGCTATAATTTATTCTTTTAAATGTCAAATAAACACATTTTTCAGTTTATCAATTTTGTTTTATCCTCATTAAAATGACTTTATTTAAGTTTTTAATACAGTCATTCTTATTTATTTTGTTTGTAGAATAAATAAAGTAGCCTCTAGATATTTTTAACATAAATGCATTATGATATAATAGGCTACAGTGTTGGTCAAATATTATTTCAAACTATCAACTAATTTAAAAAAGTCAATGTTAATTTTACAATAGCGGCTTTTTATAGTTCAAGTTTTGAAATTTTTAGGTCAATACTCTTACTCTGAATTTTTTTCCATTATTGCAAACAAAACTATTTAAATGTGTTCTTAAGAGCCAATATAGTTTTACTAATGAGCGTAAATTATCAAATAAAAATATATATTTACCTGGAACGTTAAGCTCATTCGCTATGAGTGTCCATATCTTGGTAAGCACATCCTGGTTGTGGTGTTCTTTCATGGATAAGTTGTAGATGGCCGGATGGCTTTGAACAAGAACCAACAGTTTATCCACATCTACAATATGTTCTTCTGTATCAGTAGCCGTAACCTCAGTCACAGAAGACATGGTACTAGGTGATATCAGAGTGAGATTTGGAGTATAAAATGTTGAAAAAAATAATATACGAGAGTAAACGAAATCAACACACTAGGTTACAAGAGTAAGACCTTGTTTTGTTTACATTTGAAATTAACATATGTTTTAACAATAGTAATAAATTAAAGAAATCGTAACCATGGTAAATAAAAGCACGTGGAGGAAATTAGTCACGTGACCGCGCATGCGCAGAATGTTCTGCCCGGCAGCGACTTGCCTAGAGGCATAATTTTGGAGACCTTCGCATTTTGCCCTGAGGGCGCCCCGGGGCGTCTTTTCGACGTGCCCTGCCTCGCTCGGTCCTGTGTGTGGAGCTCCATAAGCGCCCGTGCAATTCCCGTCGCACAAGACGCCCCGGGGCAAAATGCCCTGTCGCGCCCCGCCTTGCCTGGTTCTGTGTGTGGCCGGCCTTATATTAGACTTTTGTAACTCAACCTAACCTAACCAAACTTTCACAATTGTGTACTATTATGTATTATACACAATCAGAAACAACCATTGTGAATGTTTGGTTAGACTAGGTTGGTTTGTAAAAGTTTAAAAATAATTTAAAATTATTGGCCTCCTTAACCCTTTGCACTCCGACGTCCGAATTATCGGACGTTGTAATTTCGGCCAAAAACTCCGTGGTCCGAAATATCGCACGTCAGCAAAATCTCCCGAAAAATCCGACGTCCGAAATATCGGTCATCAGTAAAATCGATCGTACTGGCTATATAAATAGTCCAAACGCGCTAATATTATGACATATTTGTTAGAAAGAGTTGTGAAATATTACTCTATGCTTTTTTCTCCTTTTGTAGCTGTAATTTTGTGCTTGTCATCTTTCGTTTTTGTGGTCTATGGCGCTGGCCGGCTGACGCAATCCAGCTGTCTGCAGTAACTGGGAGGTCGGTGTTTGTTTACTGTTTGCATTGTTATTGTTTATGTTTACTGCTAATGTTTCTGTTTACAGTTTGTTTAGAGTAAAATTTTAACCTTTTATTTATTTAGTTTACAATGGAAGATTCAGACAGTCCTGATGAAGATATTTATAACAGTAACAGACGCAGACGACAATCACCAGTTAGCGAAAATACACTATTTAGAAACGTAGTGGAATCTGGTGTTGTTGTTTATGATGACTTGAGTGACAGTTTTGTGGAAAACATATCAGATTCTGAAACTTCTGATAGTGAAAACGAAAGTGATGTTTTGTCAGGTTTTGATGATGATACTGATGAAGACCCTGACTATGTTTTATCAGAGGAAGAAAGTTCAGATGAAGATGCTCAACCTACAAAATCTCGTGATAGAAATATGCCTCTTGGTAGGCCTAGTGACATAGCTGAAAGTAGGCCTGTTGAGTTTGTAATTTTGAATTCAGGTAGGCCTAGTCCTAACCTAGCTTCAAATGGTAGGCCTAATCCCTCAACTAATCAATTGCATGATACCCAATTGCATGATACCAATAATGTAGATTTAATCCAAAATGTCCTTGAAGAAAATGTAGGCCTAAATGAGCCCCTTTTGAACAATGAAGTAAATGTAAATGCACCCCTTTTGAACAACGAAGTAAATGTAAATGCACCCCTTTTGAACTTGAATACAGTACATGCTACTATTGAAGATGTAATAAGAAATTCCGAACGTTGTGTAACCCCTAACCCTGACCCTGATATTCCACCAGATATGGACCCTAGTGAAGAAGAATGGAAACCTGTCCATGAAAGTGATGACCCTGGATTTGACCATGACATTTTATTTTTCGAACAACCTGGTCCAAAGCACTGTCCTCCTCGTGATTCTGAACCGATTGATTATTTTTATTTATTTTTCACGGTTACAATCCTAACAAAATTTGTAAGAGAAACTAACAGGTATGCTAATCAGTACATCGAATCACATCTACATAATTTGACCCCTAATTCTAGAGCCCATAAATGGAGACCGGTAACACTAGCTGAAATGAAGGCATTTATTGCAGTAATTTTAAATATGGGCCTAAATAGGAAACCGACAATTCAGAGCTACTGGGCAACATCTGACTCCCAATATACTCCCTGGTACGGAAAGATGTTTAGTCGATCTCGTTTTGAAAGTATTATTCAATTTTTTCATATGGTAGACAATTCAAATTTGCCTAAAATTGGGGAGCCTGGATATGACCCGTGTGCAAAATTTTCGCCCCTGCTAGAAGCCGTCAACAGACTGTTTAGGCTGTACTACACACCACACCGTGAGTTGTCGGTTGATGAAAGTTTGATCGGAACTAAATCAAGATCTCAGTTATTGCAATACCTCCCAAACAAACACCATCACAAATGGGGTGTAAAGTTATGGATGCTGTGCGATTCCATTTCGAGGTATTGCCTTGCGTTTTATTGTTACAAGGGAACAAAAAGTACTGGACAGAAAACCACAGGCCTAGCCTACAAAGTTGTCCACAAACTGCTTGAGATAGGCCAGTATCTGTACAAGGGTTACCATGTTTTCATGGATAACTTTTTTACTAGTATCCCTTTAGCTACAAGTTTGTATGAGAAACTTACATTCATCACCGGCACCGTACGAAGGAATAGAAAAGGCATTCCATCTAAACTAAAAGAAAAATTCGACATTGGCCAAAAGACCTACATGAGAAATGACCATCTTTTATTTTTAGGCTTCAGAGAGAAAAAAAGTCAGAAAAACCCAGTTATTTTATTATCATCTAAACATACTGCTAAGTCTATTGAAAAAATAAAAAAAAAGAACAAATGAAAATTTAGTAAAAGAAATTCCTGAAATGATTGATGCATACAACCGTTTCATGGGTGGTGTTGACGGCAATGATCAAATGATGTATTGTTACTTGGATGAGAGACGCACCCTAAAATATTGGAAAAAAGTCACCTTTAACATATTTGCAAGAATCCTCCTAAATGCCTATATAATTTACTCAGAAAATACCAGCGGAAAAGTAATTTCAAGATACCACTTTACCATTTCTATTATTGAGGCGCTGTCTTCACAGTGGTACGAAGAAAAGAATCCTAGTAGAGCCCAAAAAGAAGATGGTCGTGGTGATGGACCAAATAACAAAACTCAATTTGGCATCACATCTTTACCTGGAAGACAGGAGAGGAACTGCTGTGTGTGCAGTCCTCTTAGCACAAGAATGGGAGGCAAGAGGAAAAAAAGCCGTACAATATGTGATCGTTGTGGTAAAGGACTACATGGCGTTTGCTTCGGCGAACACAAATGCACCAAATAATAACAATTCCTGTTTGTAAATAGTTTTTTTGTCTTGTGTTTGCATAATTTGTAAATAGTTTTTTTGTCTTGTGTTTCAATGATTGACTGCATGGACTTTTTTATGACTTTTGCATGGCATGTTTTATTGAGTATTGTAAAAATTAATGTGGTTGAATAGATTTACTTTTTGAATATTCTCGACATTTTTATTTTGCGTTTTCAACAATCATTAGTGCTAAGCTAAAGGCCCTACACAAAAACTTATTTTGAGTTTTTTCTACAATATTACTTTTACAATACCATATTTTGATTTTTGGAAGAAATAGTTTGAAAAATGTAATGATTTGTGATACAGTCTTGGGGTAACCCTCATTTATCAAGATGCCAGTATTTTGGAGTTCGGACAAAAATTTTCAAATTTGCCTACAACTTCTTCATTTTTCAAGGTAGGTGCATGGAACTTGTGGTGTTTTGTTCAGAACTAAGTAGAGCATTTGAGAATACTAACATTATATATGGTCTCAATGGTTTTTTTTTTAGATATACACGTTCAAACATAATATTTTTCTAAAAATAAGAAATCAAACGTATTATAATAAAAAATAATAAAAAAAATTATATTTGATATGGGTTATTTTCACTTATTTTTATGTAGAATTTCATAGGGAATAAAAGGAAACAAAAAGTATGTCTCTATCTGATCAGACAAGGAAGATACATAAATTTTACCAAACGCTTACAAAAATTAGTAAAAATGTCTGGAGTTTTTGGCTAGGCCTATCCGGCAAAGTACCGGCCTTTTTGGCTATGACCAAAAAATTTTTGCCGGAGTGCAAAGGGTTAAACATAAGTAACCCTTCCAGGTTTGTAATATTATTAACATAGTCCGTAGTACCTTCTGTTTGTATGGTTTTATTTACCCACAATTATTTTTTCTGACATCCTCTGGAGTCATGATGAAGATGTGGAAGAGGTACTCAGTCCTGATGGAAGGGGCAGAGCAGGATGAAAAGACTTTGGATACTACAGCTGAAAAGGAAATGATTCAATACTTCATGGAACCGCTAGTGTCTCCGGACACAAATGTGGCCCAATTTTGGAGAAAGGAAAAACAAGTTTTTCTAGGACTTAGTAAGCTATCCACCAAATATTTATCAGCTCCACCTTCCACGGTGTTTTCAGAAAGGCTTTTTTCAACATCTGGCAATCTGTGACAGAAAAAGAAGCCGGCTCGGTCCTGAGAGGGTGTAGATGCTAGTGTTTTTAAACAGAAACTTGAAGTACAATCCTGTGTTTCAATCTTGAATCTTCTTGTAAGACTCTTTTTGTAGGCTAGGCTAAGATATACATTTAGATTTTGCTTATCATGTTGATATTTTTATTTTTATGATTTAAAATGGACAATCGACAATGGTTTCGGACGTGAACTTTTAAAATCTTGAACAGTGTCAATACTACCATAATAGTGTTAGGCCTAATACTAAATACAAACATAAGAGAGTGTAAAAACAAAGGTAATGAAATGAGAGTGCAACAATAAATATAGGAATTTTATTTTATTATAAAACTTAACTTCTTTCCGATGTTGATTTGATTTGTATACCTGTAAAGATTCATGTTAAAATCAGGTAAATAAGGTAGACTAAAGATGTATTGATCTTTTTTCCATTTTTATAATGTTCTTTGGCTCTATCTAAGATAAAATAAAAAAATGTATTCATATTAATAATTGCTTGTTGAATAAACATGAAATA